GATTGTGTGGCCCTGCTGCCTCGCCTGCTGTGGAGGGGGGCCACTCGTCCTTTTCACAAGAGAAGGGCCCCCAAACACTACTCAACCCCCCCACCACCTCCTCCTCCTCCCCCCCAAAAACCCATCTCAGCGTCTGGTCTTGTGTGCAGCTACAGCTGGACTGCGGGAGAAGATGTCACACAACTTTACATGGCAAGCAAAAGGCGAACAAGGGACACACACACTGTCATACAGTTTCAGCAGCAGCCACAGTGTCTCCTCTGTGTCTTATCGAGGCAACACATAGTTGAATGTTGCCAAAACATGCATACCAATGGAAATCAAGCATTATTCCACCACCCCCCACACACACAGTCACACTCATGACACTGAAGCAACCATTCCTAATGAAACAGTGTATGTGTGTAAATGCATCGCAGTGGTAAAGTGTGTGTTTGATTCCTCACCGGCAGCCGCCCGGAGGATGATCTGATGGGTTTAGCCTCTGGTCCGTGGGGGGTTGAGTACAGGCTGTGGGCTCTTTGTTCGGCCGCGGCGGTGTTGCAGATCTGGGTGAAGTATCCCACCGGCACCGTGCTCATCGGCGGGCTGGACAGTCCGGTGCTGAAGAACTCGGCCTTCAGTGCTGCTCCGCTGGATAAGACCTTCATCTTGAGCTGGGAGCAGGGCAGACCCACCGCGGGACGACCCGACGCTGCCGGAGAAACGCCTTTGGGCGTTCGCATCATATTTTCCCCGGAGTAAAGTAAAATATAACCAGATTGGTGGAGCTGAAGGAGAAGTGGGCTGAGATCAATGCTGCGGTAAATCGTTCTCTATTCCGGGGAAACTATGGGTCTCTACAGAGATCTATTCTCACCCCTGCAGATATGACAACAAATTAGCCAAGAGCGACTAACACAGCAGAAATCTGCTTTTTAAATTTTAAAATGCACGATTTAAACATGCAATCCGAACAGTATTCAGCAGTAATAACCTGCTGGGTGCTGTTATCCTTTGTCCGGCAACAAAGTGCATCAGAAACTCTCCGTCCAAGTTTATCAAAACGTTGCTTAAAATAAACAAACAAACAGTTTTAAAGAGCCAGTGTTCTAAAAGTCCAGTACCGGAGGGTTCTCATGGAGAGTTCTTATAGTTCTGGTTCCGATTGGGACGCCCCGGCCTCTGCTGCAGAATCCGACCCGGTGTGTGAGTCCTGATCGTCCGGCTCTCAGCTCCTCTCTCTCCATACAAGAGGACAAGAGGTGGAGAGACAAGCAGCTTTTTTTACCGCCAAACTTCGTCCCGCGAAATTTAGATCTCCCGCGGTTGGAGCTCGCCGCTGATTGGCTCTTGGCACGCTCAGCTTGTCACATTTGCATAAAACAGTTGTTCGGGCACGAGGCTCGTCCTCTTAAAGGGACAGTAGCTCGAGTTTCTTTATTGTCAGCAGCTTGGAGACAATAAGACAATAAGACACTTGTGAGTTTCAATATGAACCAGTTCAGTCCAGGGTTGTAACTTTAATATAACTAGGACACAGCTGACCCACATCTTGTATGTTTATCTTATCTATGATTGAATATCTCTAGTTTCCTGTTTACGCACAAGAAAATACACTTTCTTTTTCTGTGCCATCATTTTACAGGCTAGTCTAGTGAACAACTCTGTATAGCTTCAGTTATTTATCTTTAAATCTATATTTATATTTGGTTACTTGTGTCTTTCAATCACTTTATATGTAAAATATTTGTATTGTCAATATCTTCGTAAGCACATACTTCCTTACAATGACAGCTTTGTAGACGTTTCACTGCAGTGAACTTATTCTTGATATATTTTGACCTCGGGATCAATAAAGTATCTATCTATCTATCTATCTATCTATCTATCTATCTTGTATCATAAGTACTTTGTAAGCTTTTACTTCCATGTTTATTCATGTTGTTTAAAAAAACAGCCCTAATATAATTTCCTTGATATTTTATTAAATGTTTCTAACAATGTGTATTGACAACTTTTTGAAACTTAGAAATTGAAGTCAGATGTGGAACAATGGTATTCAAGTGGCTAAATATGTGTAGATATAAATAATGTGTGATTATGGTTTTATAGTTTTACAACTTTCTGATCATTCACATATTGTTATATAAGAAATTAGCTGTTTTGTCCTTTGCTTGAGAATGAATATTGTATATTAATGAAAGTGTAGTGTGGCCTGGTGCGAGGTGCTGGATAGTTGCTGGGCATAGTTTGTAGATGATAATTGGATTCATTCAGTAGCACTCTTGCTTATTGGCTCAGAGGAGATATTGAAAGAAAACAACCCCTCCCCCAATCCACATCTACCAGACCCAAGCCATATGACTTGACCCCCATTGGCCAAGGCAAAGGAGACCGCCAGCCAAAGCGAGCGTATAGTCACGCCTCATTTAGAACTATAACTCAGATGATTTCAAATGAAGTCCACTGACCTCATATATTATAAATGATAAGTTAATTTAACTTTATTCACTCCAGATTGTACTAAAGGGCTGTATTTACACTATATATAAAGGGAAAAGTGTGAGTGGGACCAAGCTAACACAGTGAGCTTCTGGTCACACAGTTAGGTGTGATGAACACAAGTGTCACAGTGAGCTCCACATTATGCAACTGGGCTCATCTCCACCCTCTGTCTCTTCCTCTTTCATACAACTCAACAGAATGCAGTTAGTGATCTGACACAATTCCACAATCATGTTGTGGGAATTCAGATTCTGTAATCCATTTTGCAACGTCTCTGCATATTGCACATATTGCATCAAAGTTAGTTCGACAGTGTCCTATGTTTGATTTCCTTGTAAAAGATGGCAGCCAATGGTTTTGAATTTGATTTTGAATCCATTAAAGAATTTGTCTGTTAAAAACATCTTAGTTAACGTCACCCATCTTATCTGTTGTGGTAAGGTTTAAAGATTTTCCTTGTTTGCAATAGGATTAACTTGGCCTTTTCAGGAACCAGTGCTGATGTAGGCCTGTAAATACAAGACACCCAACCATACAAATATACCTGACCATTTTTTACAATTCAACTAATACGCTGAGTGGGTATCTAAATACAGTATATTCAATGTTTCCGCAATATAATATCTCAAAGAATTCCCATCAAATACCCTAGTTAATCATCATGATGCTTCCGGGGCAGATTAAAGTAAATCAATAAAGTGAAAACACATTTTTATTTTGTTATTATTCTTGTTAAGCTGTTTTCTAGACTAAAGTTCACATAGGATTTAAATGAGGGAAAGAAATATGACTTGTATTGTTTGCAGTCATTGTAAAACTAATCTGAAATATATAGTCTGATAAGTGTGAGCTCATAAACAGAAAACACACTGTCACATTTCATGTATCTGATGTTTAGAATAATGAAATCCTCTTGTCTGAAACGTTCACAAACTTGTTGGCGGCATCACTGTACTGATTTCGAGCTGGTTGTTTAAAGCTCATGTCCTTGGATTAGGTTTAGACCATAGTTGCTTTGTTCTTCACTAATCACTGTCTAGTATTAAACTAATGTGGATTTGTTGCAGGGTCAAAGTGCTGCTCTGCGTGAGAGCAGCACTTGACCCGCAGAGGTTCACTCTAACTTCCACAACATGAAACTTATCTTATCTTCAGGGTGCTCACATTCCTGGGATGTCAGGGGAAAGACTCTGTTGCATTCTCATCCAACACTTCCACCTTGTGGTGTAACCTGGAAACTCTCCTGCATTAGTTCAGCCTCAAGCATTATCATTAGACATCGTAATGTATCGTTTAAGTATATATAAAATCACATGCATTGAACATCATTTTAACGCAGTCTAGTACAATATTATTTATTGCTGTATTTAATTAGTATTTTGCAAAACATTTGGATCTTCATGATATATTACCCCCCAAATTTCATTAATCTAGAATTGTAATATTAGCATGATAAGCAGTAATACAGCAGTTAATAAAGTGTTGATTTAATGATGTCCCTGAAATAGTTTATTAACTTTAACAACCAAAACATTAACAATAAATATAAATTAAATGAAAAACAACAAGTGATAATTACAAAATTATGAATTCAACAAAAGTTACATTTATTTCAAAATATCATGATCACATCTTATAGTTCATCCCCTGATAGTATATTTACATAAAACATCAGTTTATCTCAGATGTTACACGACCTAGACCTAGAACTGTCTTTGAGGCGAAAACTCAACTCAACCACTAGATGGAGCCACGTCATTAGTTCCAGTACGCTGAAGGTTAGAACTGGGTCAACCCGCTCAATGCTTCAACATATTGGCCTTTTATTGTTTAGTTTGTTGTCTGTAAATAAAAAGACAGAAGATTTTGAAAAATCAATACAATATTTCGTTATTGTTGTTGATCAACTAAATGAAGCAACAGTGGTAGCATGTGCCAACATGTGATGCCTGAAATTCACCATGAATCCACAAGGTGAGGTGGTTTGCATTTATTTAGAGACCAGCCAAGGACAGTAACATAGATTTCCAAAAACTGATGATTTATAATTAGAATATTAAAATATGATACAGTTACTAAAGGTGCCCTTCTACATATACAAGGTGGATAAAGAGGTCTAGAGTTGCATGAGTGCTGCATCATGGATTGGTTCTCTTCTGCTTCAAGGGTCAAACAAAGATCTGGGGTCATGAATGTTGGAATGAACAAGATAATTGAGGGTCTCAAGCCCGATCAGTTACCAAAATGACTGACGTGTCGGTTTGTGAACACGCAACATCCGCTCCTCTACAGCGTTTAGGAAGTTAAAGTGCTTTACACTGCTGGTAAGTCACTATGGAAAAATAGAAACTCTCAGAGGAAACTCCCTTCGTTTGATTTCCAACCACTCGACCTCAAGATTCATCTGAATACATCCTGTTGTATCAGCATTTCATTGTCATCCAAAGCCCAAAGAGAAGCATCACTCCTCTCTCATGACAAAGAGTTCAGATCAATGATCCCATACACGCCACTTCAATGTTTCACACGTTTTCTTTTATTTCATTACAGAAGAACATACATACATACAAAGCAAAACTTTATAATAAAGAGTTTATGAAACTCGCATCACATTGTCCGTAGAAATAAAACAATCCCTACAAACATTTACAATTGACTCTAGTATAGAGTTCTGATTATACAAACTGACTCACACCTTTTACATACCCACAGCAGATATGTACACATTCGTATGAAGCTGAAACATAAGCTTCATCATAAGAAAACAGATTTTTCTTTTTTGGAGGTTGGGGGGGGGGGCAACAGAGGGAAAATCCTGTGAGATGATGACAGGTTCAGGTTGGGTGTGAGTTTAGGCAGAAAATAAAAAAATGAAAAAGTTTGGAATGCAACACAATAACAAAAAAAGGAAAATGAGAGAGCGATGTACCAATATTTTCTACGTCTTATCTATAGGGAATCCCAGGTTTGTACAAAGTTGGGCAAAGCTTTTACTTTCCAGTCCTGGCTTCTGCTTTGGTGTGTTGATTTGTCTGTCTGGTGGGAGGGGAGGGGGGGGGGGCAAAGAATGAGACTCTGTTTTCTTGCTCATGCACTACTGTTGATTCCCACTCATCTAGGAAACAGTCCACTTCTTTTCTTGTCTTTTCTTTCTTCAACCCCCCCTCCCTCCTCCTCCTCCTTCTTCTTTTCTCCTTCTCTCCCAAATACCTATCCCACCCCCTCTCTCTCTCTGCCCCTCTTGTCCTCTTGCCCGGGACTGAAGTGGAGACATGTGTTTCCCTGCACCTGCATGGAGAGAAAAGGAAGAAAAGTGAAGTCAGATCTCTCCCCACTCTCCCTCCCCCTTCTCCCTCCCTCCCTCGCTGCAGAGGGGAGCAGACAGACTGGCGCCTAGCATGGAACTTTCATTAACCCCAGGCAGATAGCGATGAATCCGCTTCACATTCACATTGGGCTGTCTTAATTGGCAACCAGGGTGAATGTGGAGGGCAACTCACTACACACATTATTCTCACTGGTATTAAAAGATTCATTTTCTTTATTTTCTCTAACATGTCTTATTTTGGAAGTCTAAACAACACACTACTGTCAGAATGTGCCTGAAGACAGGATGTTTCCAAACACAAGTATGTCTATATAAATATGAGGAATGGTAAGAGAAAGATGTTTATGTACCATAATTTGTCATCCTCGTCCTAGTGGCACAACCGTCCTTCTTCTTTGGAGAATTTGTGCGTAAGATCAGCAGTCTGAACGGAGAGGAAAGAAGACAGTTTTAGACGCAATGGAACAACAGCATGTTTTTTCTGCAAGTTTATATAAAGAGAGAGAACATCCTCTGCCACTGCACCACGACAGTCCACATCAGTGGCATGCAAACAAGAGCAGATGCATACGGTGATCTAAAGCACGCGTGTCTGGAAACTCGCAAGTGGAATAAACTTTTACTGGACTTTATTAAACTTTCCCCCATTCTGATAACGGTGTCTTGCGCACGGAGCTACAGGAGATCTGCTGTGAGCTGATGTTAGAAAAAGCGTCAGTCCGTGCGCCCCGCAGCGCGCACCGCACAGCACCGCACCGCAGCTCTCCTCACCTGTATTGACAGCACCATCTCCGGCGCGGCCGCGTCCTCCGCCTCCAACGCGATCTGCAGGTCGAAGATGTAGTCGATGACGTGCTGCAGGATCTCCACCTGGCTCACCGACTTGTTCTGCGGGATGCTGGGCACCAGCTCCTTCAGCTTGGAGTAGCAGTCGTTCATGTCGCACAGGGCGCCCGCCGGCTCCTCCGCGCACGAGTGTTTATTCCGGCTGATGGCGAGACTCTGCTCCGAGATGCAGCACACGGCCTTGTAGCAGCTCCTCACCGAGCGGACGGGACTGATGGCTTTCATTATCAACAACAACTTGATGTATGAGATGAGTTGTTCGTCTCCTCGCTGCCTCTGTCCTGAGCCACACCGCTGTACCGTGACAGCGACCTACACTTAGGCTTTTATACACTGAGAGCCCGATGACGCCCCCTTCCTCGCACCGCTCTCTGATTGGCCAGTTTAGGGACGAACGCCCGCTCTCATTGGCTGATATCACCTTGTGGACGGGCTGGAAAGAATGAGGAAATGAGGAGGGGATGCCTGGAGGGGATTGTCAATCAGTTACCTTTTCCAGGTGCTATTTGGAAATAAATGGAAGTGTTAAAGTATTTCTTATAAATAGGAAAATACTTCATGACAAAGCACAAGTGAAGTTATGGAGAATCTCAGGTAAACCAAAAAAATGGAATAACTCAAGTTTACAAGAGGAGAAACTGGCAGATTATGACTTTTACTATTTTATATATCAGATGTTTACTTATATATAAATATAACAAAGACACAATATAATGGCCAACTATCATAAAGGTCCACAATCAAAAATATGCAATTATTATTAATGATTACTCTCATATATATATCCGTCAGTGTCAAGCCTCTAAAAACATTTTTACAAAAATAAAATTCTCCCACACAAATACAACCTATATCACTTATTCAACTTATGTTTTTTTTTATTACATATTCCACAACAGTGTGTGTTCTTATTTCGGGGCGACACAAGCCCAACACTTAATCACACACACATTAAATATAAAATTATGATAATTGTACTATATAGGTAAAAGGTCAATGGAAGATCTGGTTATTTCTCTGTGAATTTATTGCCAAAAACGTGTTTTCAGTGATGATTCACTAGAAGCATCAGACCTGATTAATCATTTATGTTTTGGTTGCTTGTGCCTACACTGATTCTGTGCCTCAGTTCTTGTACATAATACAATTTTAAATGTTTCTAAATCTCGAGAGGAAAGCTGTAAAGTCGCTTTCTACAAGAATCCAACTTCCACTCACTGGGGATAGTTTTCTTTAATGATATATATATTCCAGCATTTCCAAATGTTGCTGTCTTTTACTTTACATCAAAGCACGTCCCGTTCTTACTCCTATTTGGGTCTTATTTTCCCCTTTTCTCACAATCCTGTTTTGTGGAGGAATGCAGGCCTGAGCCAGCTGTGTGTCCTATCCCGGCCCAGCTGTGTTGATCTAACGCGCCAGTCCCAGACATGCTGGCGCCAGCCTCCCGACGTCATCCATTCACCCCGACGCGCACTCTCGTCTTTGGCAGACGGCCCGCCCTCCCCCGTCCACCACCGGAGCAGAGGCGCTCGGAGATCCCATTGGCTTCTCGGGTCTGTCACTCAACGCACATGGTTCAGCACGCCCCTCCTCCTCCCTTTCCACGCCTCCTCCCTTCAGTCTGCAGTTGAACTCCAAGAAATTAAAGAGACGAACTTTTTTCCAAATACTCCATAACTTGTGTAATGATGAATAAGCCAAAATGGCCCAGAGACTAATATGTTCATGAAATGTGGCAAGAAAGGACAATCCACAGTTAGTATGAGTATTATAAAAGCAAAGGGAAAACCAAATCTGACCCTACTCTGTCAAGTAACATCATTTTTGTACAGTAGTAAAGTGGTTTCCCGACATTCAGAGACTTCCAGCCTCAGCCTGTAGGCGTTCACAGTCATTTTGAGCGTCTCACGCACAGAACCCATCGGGTGGAACTGTCCATGTATGGTACGTTGGAAAATTTGACATAGTTTATAAAAGGAAGAGTGGGCAAAACATAACACAGCATTTCCAGATGATGCGTAAGCACAAACAGTCTTATCTCCATACTGGACACATTTGTGCGTAAAAGCGCAAGGCTGCAGATATCCTTCCCATGACGCAGGGGTTTAACAGATGTTCAAATCTTCCTCCTGGCAATCACACCTCATCCTCATCCTCCCCACAACCGTTGACCCTGCACGACAAGCCACTCAGCGACCTCACTTCAGAGCAGAGCACATTATTGAACCGTGAGACAGGACTTTGGTCCAGGACTATTTTAGAGATATATATTGAGTGGCGCTGAGTGTCCAAACAAGACTTTGACCTCAAATGTCTGTCTTAAAAATGCCAATGCGAGGACAAATATTGAGTTAATTCCCCAGGTCTGGTGGGAAAATAACTGTTTGTATTAGCATGGCTGAAAATAGATCAGGCGATTGTGAAAATAAAACACTATTATCCATCCATCATCTTGATTGTTTGATCCACACAGAAAGCTGACTGCGTCTGAATTCCTCTGTCATTTTCAGGAACCATGGAGCTATTTCTAGGAAATCAAAAATTGCCAACTTGGTTTTTTCATGATACCCATGACAGCGCTTGTCTGCAGATTCCAGAGTTTCCGGTGCGTACAACTGTGGCACACGTACACACACACACACACACACACACACACACACACACACACACACACACACACACACACACACACACACAGAGACACAAACACATACACACGCGCTAGGCAGGGATCAGGTGCTTGTCGGAAAGGCCCCGGACACAATCGGGTCTCTCTTTCAATGGATGGGAGAATTCCGAGCCTGGCGTCAGTGAGTCTGCCTCTCTCCCCTCCTTCCCTCTCTCCCTCTCCCTCTCCCCGCTCCTCCGTGCAGCTGGACGCAGACAATCAAGCCATCAACAATCGCCATGCATAATTAGCAGCGCCCCCTCCCCTCTTCTCCTCCTCTCTCCTTCTCTCTCTCTTTCACTCCCTCTCAATTAAATTTCAATCCACCATATTTTATTAGCAGCTAAATACTCCCAGAAAATAAAGACAACAGCTTGTAAACATCTGTTCCACTTCTGTGACTCAATCCGTTTTTTTGTATCCATACCTGATGGATCTGAATCTCTCCTCTTCACCTTCTCTCAACATAAACAAAGTGTCACAGGGTGTGAAGTCATGAGGGTCGTCCTGTGAGATGAGACAGACACAGAGGGGCTGAACCACCATATTGTCTTGTGGAGCGGATGTGCTGAATACAGAAGGGCACACAAGTGCAGGCCCATCTTTGACGCAGAACTTAAGTGTCAATAAACAGTGAAACTTAATTCCTTGTAACCTTTTAGTCGTGTGTGTGTGTCGTGCAGGATTTCTCCTCCTCTGCTCCCTGTTTTCACTCTGTTCTTCATCAAAGGCTCTTCAGTCTTCTCCATCAGCTTTGAACGGCCTACAGATTCTGCGCGTTTGTCCCTGCAGTGACCCTGGCTGTGACATGACATTTTATGCACATTGTTCATATGTGCCAGTTGCTCGTTATTCATGTTAGAGACTGTTGTTGAAGACTGTGCTGAATTTTTAGATGTCAAAGCAGCCTCTTTATCCAGAAAGAAACCTGCCCACTTTATTAACAGAACAGAATCATAAACTCTACTCGACGGATCAGGATTGTTGCTTCACCTCTTCTGTGGGTGTTAATACTAAAATATGCTGTGTCATGGTCGATCTAATTACAAGGGGACAGTTTTAAACAGAGTTGTGACTCCTTAAATGATGCACTTATTAGGGTATGACATTTCAGATCTGGTGATGCAATACAAACAGTACCTCCCGAGCTAGTGTTATGCAATGTCCATACTAGAGCGGGGAGATATATTGCAAAACTAACAGACAACGTTTTAAGTCACTAAAATGACATTTTCTGTCCTTGTTTCTTTTTAACCCTCTGTTGGGAAAGACTGACACCACTGGCCCGACATGCTTGTTTGAGCGTTTGTAGTCGTTTTTGTGTTCTTGTCTGGACCAAGATATTTTAGAAAATGAAAGTCGTGTGGACGGAGGCGAAAATATCCACAAATAATATGCAAAGTATAGTGAAGACACTGCCTTTGCTGGGTACAGTTAATCTGCCAACGCGAAACAATCTGAACATGGTTTTCAGCTGTGTGGTGTTTTAACAAGTAACCATACAGGTTTTGTCTCTGTACCTTTGAGCAAAGATGCACATTTCCTCTTTGCAGCAGAAGCAAAATCGGTTGGAAAGCTCTCAACAGTGATACATAAAGTCTGATTTACTCATCCCAAAGAGTGCTGCAGAGTTGGTAAAGGTTGCAGAATGTCTTCTGTGGCTGTGGGGGAGCTTTGTCAAGTCTGAGGAAATATCTGATGATACGATAGTGATGTCAACCGTTGTCCTAGTTTGAACTTGAGCTCAGTTTTGACCAAAAAAAGTCTTTATTGCAAACTGAGAGTGAGGACTTTGAAAGGCGTAAGAAGGAAAATGTACTGTAATAAATTTTGTATTAAGGACAACGTAGGATTCAGTGTAGCTTGACCCATAAGAGTATCTTTGCAGCATAATTCAAAATTTTTTTTTTTTAAATAAAATTCCTCCTGGTTCCTCCATTTCTCAGATGAGAGATTATAAAATGAACCCCCAGCAGAGTAGATTACATCATGAATTTACTTTGAAAGAGGTAGTGGCTGTGATGTGCAGTAAAAGATATGGTAATGTTCATTAATACTGTGCAGAAGTTAGTAACAGTAAGGCTATAGTTTCACAATACCGTTGCAGCACATTGTGGGAACTGTGCTGCTGTCACTATCATGTTGTCTGGTGGCCCTGCTCGTGTCCTTGGCTGTGAATATTTCACTGCAGGAATAAATTGTGGCCATGCAACTGTGGAGCAGGTGGGACACAAGCCACAGAAGGCCACAAAGCCCACAGCCAGCACACAGGGCCAAAACAAGCTGACTATAATACTCCGTGTGACTGGGCAAGTAGAGAGGCTGCCAGATGCTGGTCATGCCATTGTTTTGTCGTTTGCATCGACCCTGACTGGAACAGTCCGTTTACTCTGCAGCTATTCCAAAGAGGATAGACATCTGGCTGTGTGTATGCACAGTTAAGGTCAGATTTGGTGATCGTGGTTTGGGCCAGTCTTTGTAGAAGAGGGTGACCTTGTATCAATGCTCTCAAACACAATGCAGTAGGACTATGTATGGTCTTAAATTATAATGGTGCATGCATCTTACATCAAGCCCTGTGGACGAGCAGACAGACCTGAGATGACTTACAGTATTTTGATATCGTCCACTAATGGATGA